AATAAATATGATTATTAGATATTGAAAAATAAAAAAAAAAGTGCATGGGAGTACGAACAATTCAGATCATTAGACATATGAGAAAAATGAAGCAATCAAATCTGATAAAACCTCAGATTATAAGCAATGGGATGAGGTCAGTTTGACATTGCCAAGAATGTGAAGCAGTCTCAAAAGTAATTTCAGTTTACAATGATTTTCTAGCATCTTCAGTTTTTCAGATTTTGCTTGCAATCAGCTGTAAGTCTATAACCGCTGAGGAGGTGGCACGTGGCAGGAGTTAGAATACAAAATATAAACTGGAGATTGGACTGTACAAGGTCTTGATCGTTTGAAGGTGGCCCGCAGCCCGTTAATATTGCCACTGTGGGCTCAAACGCATGTTTTGAAAAACCCAATTATAAGATTTTGGGCCACTATATGAGTGAGAAGTTCCCACATGTAGGCAGTCTGTCACTTCCAGTCCAAGCGATTAATACTTGGCTAGCATTCACCAGTTAGTTTTTTTTTTTTTTCAATCCACTATAAAACAGTAATCATTGATGAAGGGTCCTTTTTTAATATCATGGGACCATCTCTTAATTTAATAATTAATATTTTATAATTTATCCTTTTTTAATATCATGGAACCACTTCTTAATTTAATAATTAATATTTTATAATTTATATTATAAAACACTTGTTTTCCAAAAAAAAAAAAAAACTTGCACTTGGACCTTGCAACACAACAGTTATAAATTAGTTTATAAAAGTACATCTCCTGACTTAAGGATTGAGGTTCGAATCCTCATACCTCAATTATAAACCTATTTTTTTAAAAAAAAAAAAACACTTACCTAATAATATTGTAAAAAGGCATTGTTTACCAAACAACAGTTGTTGATGGGTACATTCCAAGCATGAGTCAAGGAAAGTTCCAACTGTACTCACAACTGAAACTATATTTTGAAGTTTGAACTTGCATCTAGCTTTAAGAAATTTCTAAACCTTTATTCTCATTTCAAGTTTGAGCTAAACTTTAGGTCTAAATTCAAGCTCAAGCTTTGATATATAATAATGGAAACTTATATGTACCAAAAATAAAATAATGCAAACTTAAAGTTTAAAATGAAAAGATCGTTTAATAATATAGGAGCCAAGTTTGAAATAGATTTTGAAACTAAATTTATTTATAGTATGTTTGATTTAAAGGAAATAAAGAAAATAAGTGAAAGTTTATCTATTTAATTAATAAAATATTTAAGAGGAAGGGGGTGATTATGCAAATGAGAAGAGGGGAGAGGAGGGAAATAAAAAGACATCTTATCCTTCCATTTCTCCATCTCTCTATATTTTTCAAATCATACATACTATTAAGCAAATAAATCTAATTCATGAGTTCTTAGTAAAATACAACTAACTTGTGAGTAATTAATCTTCTTGGCACATTCCAAACAAACGTTAGAAAAACCTTATTAAGCGTGCTTTGCTAATTGTTACTGTCTATAATGATTGCATTTGAGATTTGAATTGGATGGACGTATGTATTGTGGCTTTTAATCAAGAAAAAGGACAGAACATAAGAGAGTTTGAGTTGAGATTTTGTAACACCTCTTAAAAGAAAAGGATTGACTAATTAAGACCCACCGTTTGGCACATACAACTTCTCGAAACTGGTCCTGCTTTCGGCAAAGAACAAATAATGCAGTTCCATTTGGCAGATAAGAGTGTTTACGTACCTACTTATTCTTACCTAAAAAGTTTACCTGCTTACCTGTCGGGTAAACATGATACTGTCACCACAATACCGGCAGACATCAACAAGTGCTGATGCATGAGACCGTAACTCAAAGATTTTTGTTGGAACAAAACCCATCGACAAGTGCTGGTCCTCCCTATCTGACAACAATTCAAAGATTATAGGCTAAATTTAACTTTTCATCAATTAACTATTATTCTATTTTCATTTTAATCTAAATAGTTTAATTTCGTTCAAATTCATCTATAAACTATAAAATTTATTTCAAATTCATCTATTTACCAAACTTCCGTTAATTTTTTTAACAAAATCCTATGACATGATTATGTGGCACGTGACACATGCAATTTTGAAAATTTGTATTTCTTCCTTCTTCTTCTTTTTTTCATTTGTACATATTACTAATGTTTCACTTTTCCTGTGAGAACTTTTTATTTTTTATTTTTTATTTTGTAATAAATCTATATCTTTTAATTTTGATTAATAACTAAAAAAATTATCATTGTTATTATTATGATAAAATTATATTATTTCTTTTTAAGGTTAGTGCAGATTAGTCTCTACTCTTAAAAAAAATTAGGATTTTAACCTATATTTAGAAATTAATTTAAAAACTTAAATTCTAATTCAAAATTAAAAATCTAATTAGTTTCTAAATCTAAATATCAACATTTAAGAAAATAAACTTTTAAATTTTAAATGAAGTTTTAATTTAATAAAACGAAGTAATTTAAGGTTAAAATTTCAATTTTTTTTGAATCGAAACTAATATGCATTTTTTTCTTTTTTCTTTTTTTATTTAGTTCAAAAAATTAATTTTTATCTGTACTCTTTCTTTCTCAAAATAATTTTTTTTTAATTTTTCTAAAATAAAAATTTAAGTATAATTTATGTTTACTTGTATTACCCTTAAAAAGAAATAAAAGATGAAGAGATACATTTTGTGATGAGATGATTAATTAAAGTAAATAGATAATAACAAATATATATTTTTTACTTTAATCTTATTATTATTTATTTACTTTAATTAAT